CTACGACTTTCGTTTAGACTTCGTTGGCTATTTTTGATTTTATTTTTAATATTATTATTTTTAACAGACCGGGATAGGAAATCCGTTAAAAATTCATAACTTCTTCATCCGACGTCCGTTTTCGTCTGTCTTTTTACCGTTGTACTAATTTTGACGAGACCTTCGATTCTCGTTTAAGTTGTGTTGGCTAAATATCGATCGATTTATATTTCGAATTTTTAGTTGTCTACTGCTAAACCTAAACTTAGAAAAATCATAACTTCCTCATACGAAGTCAGATTTTTACGTTCTTTTTATTAAAGTTCTCGGTTTAACATATTCTACAAGTTTCATTTAGATTGTTAAGGCTAAAAAGCCTTTTATCGAAAATTCACATTTTACACTGAACAGTGTTTGTGCGGTTTTGTCGCGGGATCTTCGATTGGTCATAACTTCTTTGTTATAACTCGGATTCAGTGTTCTTTATATTTTGGAAAACCTTGTTACAATCTCTACCACTTGGTTCATCCCAATCACGATTATTGATCAATTTATTTTTGACCTAAATTTGACTGGTGTCACATGATATGAACTTGAGAAATTCAAAATAAAAAAGTTACAAAATTCATATTAGAAATGGAGATGAATTCGAGAAACTAAAACCCACACACAAGTCCTTATCAAAAATGGAAATCCACAAGATTTAAACCACATGTTGAAGAGGTTGGGTTTCAAATATTTTTCTTTGCAATCATGGTTTTTTATTTGGGACAACTTGAGTTGCTTCATCGTTCAAACCATAAGTTCCATTGGGATAACTTGGTCTAAAGTGGCGATGGTGTTGCTTTGTCGATTGTAGGTAACGGTGTGCCGACAGGAAAATGAGGTTGCAGAAATTTAGAGATAACTTAGGTTGTTCCATTGTTCGATCATCATGCATGGGCCACATCGATGGCAGGATAACCTGTGGGAGCAATGTAATAATTAGGGGTGATGCTAGATAGATAGTTGGGGAGGTATGGTAGGATGGATGGGAGAAAGGGTCTTCACTAAAGAAGATGAAGTCCATAAGTGGGAGTTGTCGGGTCACCGAAGGAATAAGGAGAACAAGTTTGATGAATACATTGATCAAGAAGATAGATGAAATATATAATGTTTGGGGCTAGGGATTTATTAGGTTAATATTTTTTTGGAAGACAAAACTGCAAATTTAGTCCTTGTGGTTTACAAAAATCTTTGGATAGGGTCCAAAAAGTTTTTAACTTAAATGGCAGGTCCAAAATCAAGGTTTTTCTGGGTTTTTGGTCCCTGATACACTTGAAAAGTCGATTTTACCCTTTTCATTCCTTTTTTCTATTTTCTTTATTTAATTTGGTATTTAAATAATTAAAAAAAATAAAATCTCTCTCTCTCTCTCGCTCTCTCTCCAGATCACCCACAACCCAATCACCAGCTTCATTTTCTCTAGTGTTTCTTCACATCTACCTCCATAGAAAAATCCACACATTGGGACTACGATCTGCATCAAATAAAACCAAACTTGATAATAATACCTTCATCACAATCGCCTTCCACCCCATTACCGGAGATGCTACCAGAACCCTAAATCTAACTCCGCCGCCGCCATCATTTGGGATAAATCAGTTGCAGGAAGCAACGACAATGTTCATAACTCTCCTCCTTGTTGATCTCTGAATATCAGATCAATGGTCTTGTCTCCCTAGAACGTTGTTTCCTTGATCAACTTCATGGTTCAACCTTCAAAGTATATGGTTCTGAACTTCATCATCTGGGTTTCAAAATTCTAATCGATTCAACAAGCATATTCTGGTTTAAATCGTGTAAATCGAGGTGGGATTTGAAGTCAGGTGGTAGCTTCTTTTTAATTTCAGTTATCATGCTTAGATTTAAGTTAGAATTTGAGTTGCAGGTTAGATTTTAAGTTTAAGCTCTTGGTTTTGATTTGAGGTTTAGAATTAGATTTCAACAATGGTGTGGTGGATATCGTGGATTGGTTGTTGTTGGAGGAGGTGAACTGTGGTGTTTGTTGGAGGTGAACAATGGTCCTGTTCAGAGGCGAACGGTTGTCGGAGATGGTTGAAAAGAGGTTGTCGGAGGAGGTGAACGATGGAGGGGAAAAGGGATTATGGGTAATGGTGGAACCATATATGGAGGTGGCAGACGGTGGTAGTGGCAGACTAAGGTGGCGGCGGACGATGGTGGAGGCAGACGATGGTCAAAGGGTGGTGGTGGTGGCGGACGGTGGTCAAAGGGTGGTGGTTGTGGAATATATTCTTAAGTTCATGAATATGTTCTTGAGTTTATGAAGATGTGTTCTTGAGATTATGAAGGTGTTCTTGGGTGTTGGGAGAGGGGGGGGGGGGGGTTGGGTGAGATTTTAGTTTTTATTTTTTATTTTTAATTATTTAAATACCAAAATAAATAAAGAAAATAAAAAAAAAATGACAATGGTAAAATAGACTTTTCAAGTGTGTCAGGGACCAAAAACTCAGAAAAACTTTGATTTTGGACCTGCCATGCAAGTTAAAAACATTTTGGACCCTATCCAAAGATTTTTGTAAACCATAAGGACTAAATTTGCAGTTTTGTCTTTTTGGAATATTGATTAATTGATATTAGTAAAATACATAATTAATAAAATTATAAAATTTAAGTGAAACAATCGTTCCAACACATTTAACAAACTAAAATTTACAGTTGTTAGTTTTTGGGACTAAATACACAATAAAACCCTCAAGACCATTTTTACAAATTGAAATTTTTCCGGACGTCACTAAAAAAGAATTGCAAACCATCGGGGTTATTTTTACAGTTTTATCAAAGTTTTGTCAAGAATAAATTTATTATACAAGTAGAAAATATATAATATTGTTATGAGAAATCAAATATACTTTTTGCTTTTTGTTTATACTGATATTTCTATTCAATAAATCAAAACAAGTGTCAAAAAGAAAAGAAAGATTATTAAAAAAATTAATGAATTCAAGATATTATTATTTTATATGAATAGAAAATAGATAGAAAGAGGATGTTTAATTTCTGTTATATTATATATAAAGATACATTAAATTTTTTCAAGGTTCTAAAAAGTTCGACATGTTTTCATCATTGCGCGTCATAGCTTTAAGACTTGTATTTGATGTTATTCATTAACAAAATGTCGTTTTAAATCATATATATATATATATATATAATATATATAATATATATATATTATATATTATATATATATATATATATATATATATATATATATATATATAAATGAATAATAGTAGAAAATATATATAAAATTATTAATTTTATACAAAAATATCACTTTAAGCTACGCCTTACAAACAACGTAATTCGTCATGGCTCGTAAAAGTTTGAGGTTTAATATTACGACCAAGTTACCCTTAACGTTATTTAGAACCTTGATTTTCATAAATAACGAAGTAATCACCAACCTCATAAATAACGAAGTAATCACCAACCTTATGAACCAACCAAACCCTTTTTGGAAATCCTGAACTTGAAAATTGTATTAATTTTCTGTTTGCAAGAAAGAGCAACTTTGACACAATCCCAAATACGTTAGTAATATCAAGTAGGAAGTTGGTCACCGACCAAAACTTTTAGCACTTTATAGAAAACACATCTTTCAATAGGATCAAACAACCCCAACCTCCTCCATAAATTAAAAACATATATAAATACTCTAAATTAAATCATTCTATTTTGTGTATCTATTTTTTTAATTTGTTAAACATATTTGCTAAAATAAAAAATAAATATTTAATTTGTTAAACATATTTGCTAAAATAAAAAATAAATAAATAAATTGATATGTCTTTGTATATATTTAGGGGTGTTTAGGATTTCTTATATAAAGTCTTTATTAGTTTTATACGAATTTGAATTTTAAATGTTTGAATAAAAAAATCAAAATATTTATTGATTTAAAAAAAATCAATTTACTATCTTATTACTTTTTGAAAATTCTTATTTAAATTAAATATATATTTACCCATTTATCTTTATAGTAACTAAAAGTAAAACATATACTCGTAAGATGGGCTTTTAGTTTTTAGTTTTTGACAAAAAAATCCGTTTAAAAAAAATACGTTTGTCATTATAAATTTTTAATGTTTAGTTTAAACAAAACATTTTAAATCTAAAAGTTATCTATTGTTTAACAAAACGCTACCTCGTTAATAGCTATTCGCTACCTGTTAGTTTTACCAAACACTTGTGTATTCATGGAAGGGCATTTGATTGTGGCATGCCGGTTTTAAGTTTTTGAAAATTCTTTTAATAAATTATATTTTTTTATTATCTTATTTTATTATATTTATTCTAATTCTTATTTAATAAATTACATATTTTACATTATGAAGTTAAGAACCATATGGATTTTAATAAGTCTTTACAAAGAAAAAAATAAATTACATTTAATCGGTAAAAGTTTAAGGGCTATAAAAATATTTTTAAATGTTATTTATATAAAAAATTTATCAAAAATATTATTATAAATCCCAAAAAATGTAGTTAAAAATAAAGATACATATAAGTAAATAATATATAACGATGTCTATTTCGTTCATTTTTATATTTATAAACTTTTGCCCGTGCATTAAAAATAACTTACTAGTTTATTGCATTTCGATACTGCATAAGTGCAAAAATGTTTTTTCTATAATTATGATGCATGAATTTATATAATATTTCACGATTGTATAAATGTATATGTAAGCACTTTTTTACATGCTTACAAGTAAAAATATATTTATGTCTCATTAAGCCATGAAAAAACCCAACAAAATGTATACTTCCGTAGTATAGTTGAAAATTATGTACAAAATTCTTATTAAATTATAGCTAGACAGATAAAAAAAACTAGAGAGGGTATAGAATAAGACCTTAATTTCGTCACAAAATATGTTTGAATGTCGTTTTGTATGAATCCATTTTGTATAAATTTGAAAAGCAAAACACCATTTTTCTTCAAAATCTTGGTTAGCCCTTCCACTTCCCATGTCCTCTCTCTATATTTATATTAATATACATGTACATATATAACTAAGATCTTAGAGAGAGAAAACAAGAAACAACAACTACAATGGGTGTGTTTTCGTGTGATAACACGATGTTAGTACTAGGATTCTCTGCTTTCATCATGGTTAACCATGTCTATATGGGACATTCGTTTCCACTGGATCGCAACTTTCAAACACGAAAATTGCAAGAATTTAAGTCGTATTTCTTCCAACGAGAACATCATGTTTCTCTTGCTTCTTCGTCTTCATCTCCTTCTCCGTCTCCATCTTCGCCTGTAAGTATATATATTCAAACAGATTGTTCTTTTTTAACTATTAGTTTGAAGAGAATGAAAATAACTGATAACTAAATACCAAGTAACCTAAACATCTGTCACTCAAAGTCGTTACTTTTTTATATACCTCTCGCATATATGCTGATAATACCAGAGCTTGCAAGTAGGATCGACACATGTTTAGTAATATTCAAAATGGTTCAGGTTGGGTTGAGTTACTTTCGTTTTTTTTTTTTTTTTTGGTTTATAAATTATTAATGTGTTACGTATGATTATAAAAACTATATAATTACAATAATAATAACTCAATAGAAGTATAGAACATTTATGCTTATGAATACATTTTGGTATTTAATCTGTAATCCGTCGCTAAAAGATAAACATAAAATAATGTTAAAAGCTACTCTCACACAGGCAACAACCGGGTCAGGAGTCTTTCCGGTGATTGCATATGGTGCGGATCCGACTGGGAAAACCGACAGCACAGAGGCAATCCTTAGAGCTATTTCCGACGCCGTTTCCGGCGATGGTGTTGGGTTTTTAATGAATGGTATAAACAACGTCGGTGGAGTTCAAATAAGTCTAGAAGGTGGGATTTACAAGATCAGCCGGCCGATCAAATTCCCGGTGGCCGGCCGAGGGAACATTCTGGTATAATTTTTAACTTCAAATCTATTTAAACAGTTTTATATATCTACGTAACAAAAGATATATAATTTACATAACACGTACCTAATCGCATCTATAAAGCCTTTTTATTTTTTTATCGGGTGATTGGTATGCAAATGAGGTATGTAGTTGATGTTTGGCATAACCACTACATAAGAAAAATGTAAAAGATTATAAATATTATTTTTAAGTTTTACTTTTACCAGATAAAAGAGTAGGTATAATTCGTTCAAATTCAGACTAAAACCTCTTATTCAATCCTACATGACTCCACATTTATAAGCCTCTCATTTGATCTTATGGTTTCTAAATGCATTTACCAACAAGTATCAAACAACTCTTAAAGTGTTTTAAATTATTATTGATCAATTTGAAACAGATATATGGTGGGACCCTAAAAGCATCTGATAATTTCACAACCGATGGTTACATGATCGATTTATCATCTCCATCATCTTCATCATCAAATTCTCAATACAATTACGAATTCATAACACTTAGAGATTTAATGTTAGATTGTAATTTTAAAGGAAGCGGTATCCGAACAATCAACAACCTTCGAACAAGCATCGATAATTGTTACATCGCCCATTTTACCACAACCGGCATCCTAGTACAAGGTGGACACGAAACCTACATTCGAAACTGTTTCCTAGGTCAACATATTACAGCTGGCGGTGACCCTGGTGAACGTAACTTCACTGGAACGGGCATTGACCTACAAGGAAACGACAACGCTGTCACAGATGTTGTCATTTTTTCAGCCGCAGTCGGAATCAGTATTTCCGGACAAGCCAACATGATAACGGGAGTACATTGTTATAATAAGGCCAACGGTTTTGGTGGGACCGGAATATATTTAAAGGTCCCTGGAATCACACAAACTAGAATCGTGAATTCCTACTTTGATTACACCGGAATTGTAGCCGAAGATCCAGTACAACTTCATGTTTCCGACTGTTTCTTTTTGGGTGACGCGTTTATTGTTTTGAAATCGGTTCGTGGAGTTGTAGATGGAATAAACATTGTAAACAATATGTTTTCGGGATCTGATAAAGGGATTGATATCGTTCAATTAGATCAAACGAATCAAGAGTTTACAGAAATTGGTCACGTAGTTGTTGACAAGAATAATGTGAAGGGGATGAGCTTAAAGGCAACTATCGCGAATGGTGTAACAAGGGTCAATGGAACCTCGTGGAGTATTGATTTTAACAAGATTCTTGTTTTTCCTAGACGTATAAAATTTGTTCAACATACGTTAATGACTGATGCGGGTGACTCGTTTCCAAATACTGTTTTACGAAATATATCGGAAAATCAGGTATTGATTCAATCAGATGCGACAGTTGAAGGAAGTGCATCGGTAACCGTTGATCAAGGTCTCTGGATGTCAAGCTAATTTATATGTATTTAGCTGAATTCTTTTTCAATTTGTTCTATATGATATTGAGTTCAAGATCTAACTTGAAATTGTAACTTTCTGTATGGGATTTATATAAAAGTATACGGATTAATATATTTATTTGCTTATGTGTTTTCAGTTGTGATTGCAAAAATGAAAATACTTTTACAAAATTTGTCATTTCTGTGGGTCACACATATTTTTTGGCCCAAGACGATAACGTCGTGGATTATGGAAGTAAAATAGTAAATAGATATGTTTTGGGTCTAACTTTGGGCTGCGAAATGTAAAAGTGGGCCAAGTGTATGACGTAAGTGCATAAATATATATATTATAATTCAAGATTAATATGTAAATGGCTATTAGGTTTAGGGCATCTCCAACCCACCCCCAAACTCCATTTCTTTCCCCATTTCTTTTCCCATTCTTTTCCAACCCTACCTCATTTCCACCTCCATTTTTGGAGATATGAATTAGTATTCCCTCATATATGGGGGAATACTATTCATATCTCCAAAAATGGAGGTGAAGTTTAGTTGCCAATTTTAGTCATTTTTAATTTTATTTTATACATTTCTAGTTTATTTTATCTATTAATTATAAATTAAATGCAATATTTAATATTTATAATATCATGTTATATATTAATTTTTATTAATTAATCATAAATGTAGAGTTTAATTAGTAGAGGGGTGTATTTGACAATATATATAAGTTATAAAAATGGAATATTCTAAGAATATACTTTTTGGGGTAAAAAATGGGGTAGAAAATAGAGTAGGGTTGGAGATGAAACACTATTTACTCCATTTTTTACTCCATTAATGGGGAAAAAATAGAGATGAGTTGGAGATGGTTTTAATTTTTCAGATTTAAAGTGTTTGGTAGCAGCTGAAGAACTAAAAGTGTACCAAAAGTGCATAACAGGACAAACCACATGTACCAAAACTGTAATGTAACATTAAAAACTAGAAGAACTAAAAGTGTAATTCATTCATTTTCTAAACTAAGAACTATAGGTTCCCAAAAACTGTAATTAATGCATAAAAAGTATATGGACCAAAATTGTAATTCAATCATTTTCTAAAATATACACTATAGAGGCAAAACTATAACTAATGAAAAATTAAAAACTATAGGGACCAAAAGTGTAATTCAATCATTCCTTAATCAAAAACTATATGGAACAAATTAAAAACTATCAAAGATCAAAACTGTAATTATTGCATTTCCTACGAATTAAGAAGGATATATAATATGTAACTCATAATAACAATATATATATATATATATATATATATATATATATATATATATATATATATATATATATATATATATGGTGTTTTAGATTTTATTAACATATTACAACATTATGGTGTTGCTAATCAGGATTGATATTTTGAATGTTTTGAATGAGAAAAACTTAAAAGATAAGAGGGAACATGTCCTAGGTGGAAGCGTATTTGAGCTGCTCAGCTACATTATTTTTATAAGAGTAAATTATTAAAATCGTCCCTATGGTTTGGTCAAAATTACATGTTTCGTCCCTAACATTTTTTTTTGCACTCGGACCGTCCCTGTTGTAACATCCCAATTTTCAAGTCCAAAAATTTCTTTTAGATTAACTGACTCATAAAAACATTCATAAGAAAATACTGTGAAAACACATCATCTCATAAAACAATGTATCATGTCTGAAAACCCAAGTCATAAAATAATAACATATCAGAGTACAATCCCAGAAAACTCTATATGCGGAAATCATGTGTGTGTGATGCGCTGCTACACTACCGGCTCCTTCCCCTTAGACGAAGAGGTACCTGAAACCAAAACTAAAACTGTAAGCACAAAGCTTAGTGAGTTCCCCCATCATACCACATACCATACAGTCATATCACATACATACTGTCGGGCAATTCTGGGGTGCCCGACCTACCCAGTACAGCCATTCTGGTGTGCCGACCTACCCGTGTCAAACCATTCTGGGGTGCTGACCTACCCATGTCAAGCCATTCTGGGGTGCTGACCTACCATTCGGTCCTATCAACCGAACCTCGGGGACTATTCCACCCCCTACTGCTACTATCACATATATCATAACGTAAACATGCTGTCAGACGTTTCTGGGGTGTCCAACCTACCCTTCGGTCCTAACAACCGGACTTGAGGACTATTCCCTCCCTACTACCACTATCACATATATCATATCATGCCAGCATATAATCATATCATCACATACTGTCAGACATATATGGGGTGTCTGACCTACCCTTCCGGTCCTAACAACCGGACTCTACTACTGTCACATATACGTATCATGCTAGCATATAACATATCAGGTAGTAGCAAACATAGCAAACATAGACAATTATCATGAAGACAATCATCTATAACAACTCCTACTGGTGGGCCCGCATTGTGGCCGTAGACCCACCGCTACTGGAAGGTAACTCACCTCGTACAAGTAGCTGCTGATAATCTGTACGGGAAACCTCTGTCTGCTGCCGCTCCGGAAATCCTCCGGCTACAATCCCCAGAAAATACTTAATCAGAGTCTGATATCTACTCTTAGGGTAAAATGACCATTTTACCCCCAACCAAGTCCAAGTCAAAGTCAAAGTCAACTTCCAGTTGACCCGAATCGCCGAGTTGGGCCGTCAACTCGTCGAGTCCCTATCTCTTCAACTGTCCTCATCCACGATTCTACTCGTCGAGTTTAGCGACGACTCGACGAGTTCCTCTTCGATATGAACATCGAATGAACCTTCATCCGACTCGCCGAGTTGTATGAACACTCGCCGAGTTCACCTTCATCAGATGAACAAGTTCTGACCTTGACTCGCCGAGTTGTATGAACAACTCGTCGAGTTCATCTTCAATCATAAGGAGATTGCCTTGGACTCGTCGATTCCCATGAACTCCAGGTCTAAAACTAAGTCCAATGCGTTGGGTCACTCTTTCTGTCCTGTTACAACCCTTCTAACACCCAACTGAGTCCTTTTGACCCTCAATAGATATGGGACTCAAAGCCTTGGACTCGTCGAGTCCCAAGAACGGACTCGCCGAGTCGATAACATCCACACCCTAAATCCTCGATTTCTGATGTACAACACTTGACCAAATGATATATCCAAGCCCCTAAGCTCGATCTAGCACGTAAAGTTACGAACTTTACATGCATGCATGGGACTTTTGAGCCAAAAAGGCTCTAAAATGGCTCTAATGTTGCATGGAGCCTTCCTTGGGTGCAAAAGCAACCCAAATCTGTCTTGTGACCACTTTAAAGACCTGATTCCAAAGCCTCAACCCCCAACCATGTTTGCAATCATGGTTGGTTACCAAAAATAGCTTATAAAAGCCCTAAATCTCCCCAAAAAAGGATTTATCAAATAAAAGAGCAAGGTACAAACTTTATACCTCTCAAGAACTGCAATTGATGAACCAAACTCGAATCCTTCAGTTCCCTCTTGATCCTTCTATGCACTTCCTTCTTCCTTGTGAACAAACCACCAAAATTACTCAAAAGCCTTAGATCTTGCACCAAAACACTTAGAGTTTGCTATGGAGGGTTTCTGGGAGCATAAAGGGGCGATGGAGGCTGCATAAGGTTGTTTAAATAGGGTGCAAACCCTCAGATTAGGGTTTTGTCCGGTCAGAGCCTACTCGTCGAGTCCGGGACCCGACTCGACGAGTCAATCACTTAAATCCCGCGCCTCATCCCGCTTCTACTCGGCGAGTTGGTCCTTCAACTCACCGAGTCCAAGGCCAAAAATGCAAAATACTTAAATAAAAATACATACCAAGAACCAGGTGCTACAAATCTCCCCCACTTATTTTAGACTTCGTCCTTGAAGTCTGCTGCTCGATCCTGGAATAGCTCTGGGTAATGCTCCATCATCTCATCCATCGGATCCCAAGTCCACTCTGAGCCCTTCCGGTGCTGCCATTGCACCTTCACTAGTTCCACCTTTTTGTTCCTCAGATCCTTCGACTTCCGGTCGAGGATCGCCACTGGCCGCTCAATATAATTCAGGCTGTCATCGACCTGAATATCCTCTAAGGGTACCACTGCTGAGTCGTCCACCAAGCACTTCCGCAACTGAGAGACGTGGAAAGTGTTGTGGATCTGGCTGAGTTCGGCTGGCAGATCCAACCTATATGCCACCTTGCCCACCCGGGCTATAACCCTGAAGGGTCCAATATACCTGGGACCCAACTTGCCCCGTTTCTTGAATCGGATGACGCCCTTCCATGGCGACACCTTCAGAAGAACCATATCCCCGACCTGAAACTCCAGGTCCGATCGGCGCTTGTCGGCATAACGTTTCTGCCGACTTTGAGCAGTCTGAAGTCTGCTCCGGACCTGCTGAATTCTTTCTGTCGTCTTGAGCACCACTTCGGTGCTCCCCATGACCCTCTGGCCAACCTCACCCCAACATATCGGGGTTCTGCACTTCCTCCCGTATAACATCTCGAAGGGAGGACGGTCGATACTCGCATGATAGCTATTATTATACGAGAACTCCGCCAACGGAAGGTAGGTATCCCAGCTACCTCCAAAGTCTAAAACACATGCCCGCAGCATATCCTCTAATGTCTGGATGGTCCGCTCGCTCTGACCATCCGTCTGCGGGTGAAAGACGGTGCTAAAATGCAGACGAGTACCCAGTTCGTCATGAAACTTCTTCCAAAACCTGGAAGTGAACCGCACATCCCTGTCTGAAATCACCGATACTGGCACCCCGTGCCGCGCCAGTACCTCCCTGATATAGATATCGGCCAACCTTTCGGCCGAAATACTTTCCTGAATCGGGATAAAATGGGCGCTCTTGGTCAATCGATCGACGATGACCCAAATCGAATCCACTCCCCACGCGGTCCTGGGAAGCTTTGTGATAAAATCCATCGTAATGTCTTCCCATTTCCACAGCGGGATATCCAACGGCTGCATCTTGCCGTGTGGCCTCTGGTGCTCGGCCTTGACCTTCCTGCAGGTCAAGCACCGCTCCACATACCATGCTACGTCCCGCTTCATGCAGGGCCACCAATAATCAGGACGAAGATCTCTATACATCTTCGTTGCTCCGGGATGGATAGAAAATCTGGA